TGTGATTAAAAATACCAGGACAACAGCTCTTCTTCCATGTTCTGTTGGCATGGTGAAGAGATACGAATACACACTATTAATTGAATTAGCCAAGTGTATGGATGAACATCAGAAAATGTGGTATCAATCAAGATCTTCTACTGTTAGTGATGAGTTATTGTACAGAAGCTATTAGCAACACGCCATCATCACTAATGTTTGGGAGAGAACTTAAAATGGTTTCTGTACTCTCGTTCGGAGTCTTATACAGAATATATTGAGAGGTTAAGAAATACTATCAATGACATCCATGATTTAACCAGAAAAAGACTTAAATCCATTAGTGATAAAATCAAAAGTCGCTACGATGGTAATGCTGATAAGATTGAATTACATTGAGGTGACATTGTATGGTTGTACAATCACTGCTGCAAGAAAGGACAATATCCAAAGTTAATCAAGAACTAGAGGGGAGGACTGTACTGTGCTGAAAAGAATCAATGATGTACTTTGCAGAATTCAGAAGGATAGGTGATCCAGGCTAAAGGTCATCCATCGTAATCATCTCTGGAAGTAAGTCAGAAAGAATGGCCAACTGGATAACTACAGAGGAGAACTTATCATCAGAAACTCAACCTACTGAGCTGCTCTGAGTTTTTGCCTAAACTACTGTCAAAGGATCACCAAAGATGAAGCTGTCAATGGATTCATTCGACCACCTATCAAGGACAAACCCTCCAGCATCAGAAGGCCAGTGACAACAAGATACAAGACGCCATCTCATCTGTATACCATGGATCTTGAAAGAGAAAAAAAACACCAAAAAAGACTTGGCGAATGGACAGTTTAGTGTATTGTTTTATTTTATTTTAGTATAAGGATTGTTCAAGGAACTTCCCAATCGAGGAAGAAAACAATATTGAATATTGAAAACAATATTTTTGATATTGTAATTTGTTTGTGAGCTAGAGAGCGCATGATGTAAAGATCAAGTAAGTTTGTGGGAATACGTCTAAAATATTCTAAGTTGACTTTACAAAAACTTAGTGACCCTACGTAATATCTGAAACAATTATTAATCAAAAATTCAAACCCTATAACCCTAGTGTTTTCAAAAGGTAACCCTTTCTTCGTTAGGGACAAACTGGGAATGACCAAGTAAAAATTAAGTGTGAGAAAATGTGGAATGATGTCATGGCAGACTACTATGGCAACCCGAAAGTGTTTAGATTACCTTTCAAGTTTCAATGTATTGTTGTAAGTATGTCTCATTTCCATTGAGCAATATGGGAGGAAACTAGAATGTTAGGTATAAAGAGGTTAGGAGGTTTTTGTTTTTAAAAAATGTCGAGGGAAACTATACTGAGCCTCACTGGCAAAACAAATAAAAGCAAAATTTACAATCATAAAATGTTACTCCATTGTAAAATAGTCATAAGAGTAACATTATAAAGTTAACTAAACGGAAGGTATAATGATGAAAGCTGAGATTCTATTCAAATACCAAGCTTTCGATAGGCAAAGTGAGGAAGCCAGTAATGTAGGGATTGTATTCTCTATGTAAAGTCGAGACGGTTTAGTCTGCTATGTCAAGTGATATGTCTATTTCCATCCCTATCTTGTTTGGTTCCTTTTTTGAAGTTCGGTAGCCAGCCCAACATAGCTTTTGTTTTAGCAATATTTTTTCCTAATACTTGTTACTTTTGTTTTGATTTATAAAACTCATTGGCACTACTAGATATTTTAGTTCATTCTTCAGTTAAGATTTAGCTGGGCATCATCACGGTAGCTACGTATAGAATGTAAATGATCACAGGAAAGAGTAATTTTATGTCTCAGCAACGAGACACATAAGTATATACGCTGTATTAAACATTTCAACGATAGGCTAAATTTATAATATTATAAATATGACAAGATAAAACACGGTTATAGTATATAGTTAACCACCCAATCAATTCATTAATATACAAATCATGCTACTGCTGCTGATTATCAGGCATGTAATCTGATAAGCAAATTATTGGTTGTTCAAGTTACGCTATGAAAAAAAATCTTACATCAGTCACCACTTTGAAATGAATCAGAGAGTGAAAGTTCTCTTGATTGTTCATTAACTATGTATAAACCTCAAATAATGTGTTTGAAAGTTTCTTATGTAGATTAACATCGAATGAATGGAACCTGGCCAATCAGATCAGGTTATGCTTTAGCTACAAGTGTCTGAAAGTATCATTAGCAGATTGTGAAGCCATTTCCAAATCAATGATGCAGTTACTCAAGAATCTGAATAAGGCACACCATTGTCCTCATCATAACCCGACGACCATTATGTATTGATTCTAGCTCGTTGCAGTCCATGAATGAATCAAATATACGCAGTTTAAATTGAATGTCGTGTCAATATACAGGACGTCACAAAGTCGGACTATATCTACATCTATATTTTGCAGAGATAACTTTAATGCTACACATAACATATGCAATATTCTACACTCTTTCTACTGAGACTTTTGAATAAAATGGCGCAGACTTTTAGCCAAACGAACGATAACGCCAGCCCCAAATCATACTTAACTGCTAAACACGTCCCTTGAAAGAAGACCAAATTAACATAATGAAGTATCTCCGCGATCACAAAATTAAACCTCATTGACCATGAAAATAATACTCTTACGAGACGTTTCACACTGCATCAAGTGATCCTATAAGTTAAGTATGCTCTGGAAATATTTATTTCAGAGGAGTGATTTTAAACCTTCAACATCAATGCAAAAATGTACATGTTGATGACAGTGGCTCAACTCCATATTACGATGAAATGTTCTGAACTGTAAAGTCACTGCAACCCTTAATCATTTTCAAACCTGGACTGAATGGCAGATCATTTGCGTTTCGGTTAACATGAGAGATCACTTTTAACATTAAACGTATATTTAGCTAAATTTGCAGTTTAAAACGATTTTACGTAAATAAAACTTTAAATATTCTGAAAGCCATGACGTCATCAATAATTTGAGAGTTTTTGTTTAGCGAACTTCAGACTTCGAAAAATATATAAACTTTAAAAAATTAGGGAATATCTTTTGTAGGCAGGACAGGACGGGTCATACTCGCATGTACATCCCACAAAAGTAGATTGGGATTTTATCCACGATAAGGCAATACCGCTGTTGTGATGTCAATCATTCCCTCAATGAATTTGTTTGTAAATAAGACATTTAATGCTTAAGGATCCCACTGAGTAACTTAATGATAGATAGCAGCAGCTTTTAGTAGAAAACTACGAAACGTTGTGTTTTATGTTAGTAACACAAAATTTTCCTACCTAAAAAAAAAACTACTTTTTATATATTTTCTGTGGAACTTCAGACAGAGTATACATGTAGTAGGTTTGAAACCTTTAACTGACTGCAATTGCTTTTGAAAGTAAAAGAAGTCAAAACGTTGTTTCCTTTTCTTTCAACAGGTAGTTGCAGTCAGTTAAATTTTTCACGCCTACTACATTTTATATTATTAAAATTTAGTAAAATACTAACCTTCAAAATCATTTACTCAAAGTACAATGAGAAAGGCATTGTGAATAATTAAACTATGATATTAATCTGTCCATTGCATCAAATATCTTTAACCTTAAGTAACTTATCAGTAAAGTATTTCCACTTATTTACAAATTATAACTAGCTGCTTTTAACTTCTATTTAAGTTTATATTTGTAGCAGAAAGTTACATATTGATCTATATACGTGATTTGTTCATCATGGAGAATCAAATCTTGGATTTTAGTGTTTAAGTCCATAAACTACCACTAACCTACCAAGGAAGATTCTATCTTCTTAAGCACTTGTGATTTGTTCTGTTTTTGTGTAAGACATTTTCTCACAAATTGAAAATCAAATCACATTTGAAGACTTAGTAAAAAAGTACAATTTCTATATACATAGTATGCATGTGTTTAGTTGAACAGTAACAAAATCTGAAAGACATGCCCATCAGCTTTCAGTTTATCTACTATCAAAAACTTTAAATTGATAAAGTTTAACACTGAAGAATACTTTACCCAACAAGAAGAGGAAGGTTAAGGTTTAAGATGTCTCTTTCTTAATTGAAATGCTTTATATATATATATTACATAGCAATTAACAGGTTTTAAAACATTTTTAACTCCTATGTTCAAGCAACCACACTTACAAAGCACTGATAAAAACAATGCCTGAACTGAATTTGATAAACGTGTTGTAGGGTAAACTTATTCACAGTTGTTTATATAATGTTATAGTGATATGTATAATTTACATTTTCTATATCGTGATTTTATCTTCAGATATTCCTTCATAGATAATCTGTTCTTTCTCTTATTAATGAGAAAATTAATATTAAAAATAACCATCTCAACTTATTAAATCTTAGGCTTCAGGTATTTTTTGCATTTGTACATGCACTATTAAACAGAATTCACAGAAACAGAATTAAACTCTTAAACAGAATTGTGTTATTAAATTGCTCACTATCATTCTTTCTTTCTAATCACTTAAGGTATCAATCCAAAACATTTTTCTTGGGCAATTCAGCAGTATTATAATTAGACGCAACATTCATTTTTGTGATGACATAAAACATGGTATGTATTTAAATTATGGTTTAATATTTTCATGTGAACTTAAAAGTTTTATAAATTTTCCAGTATGTACATTTTTTATCTTTTTGTAGGTGACTGTAGCAATTTTTATAATTGTATTTCTCAAGAACAACCTAATTTTCTGCATCAAAATTTTGCTTACTCTTCCTGGAGATAAATGTAATAAAATAACTAAAAAAATGTAATTGGTCCCTCATTCTCTCAATAATGGTCTATAACTGTATCCTTGCTGAATCATGTATGTACATCTCTGTAAAAGTAGTCTACCGCACACTGTATGTTAGTCATGGACTTACTACTATCCTCAATGGAATTATATGCATATATACATCCTTACCCAGGATACCATGCTTCAAAACATAATATAAAAGGAACACAGAGATTAAAAACACATTTTACTACATAAAAAAATTCTAAAGTCATTCAAATTAAAGTGTTAACACAAAATTCATTTCCTTTAGACATCAGTAAAATACATGATCACTCAAGCCTAACTTTACAGACTTATATTAAACATGCACTAGCTGTTAAGAAAAAAACAGCAAAACTTTAAAATTAAGTCTTCCTAAACACTTCACATTTTCCTTAGTATCTTCACCATGTAATAAGAAAATGCTATGGTAAAACTTCGGAAACACGATATTCCACTGCTGTTCGTTCAAGCAAATGACTGAGTCATTCTGTTAAGCTCTAGGCACAGGCTTGCATCAAGTCCTGAAGATCACCATAGTTACAAGTCCTGTAGAAATGTGATAACAAGCTTTCACCATCATTTTGTTTGAAACAAGGATTAAAAAATCAGAAATACAAATTGAAAGTTTTTGGAAATGAAAAATAAACTCTACACATTATATTGTTAAACATAATTTGAAAATTACTTAAAATTAATGTGTGATCAATTTTGCTAATTTCACTCAATACTCTTAACATTTTAACCACAGTCTTAAAAAATAAATATACAAAACCATTTTCCATTATATGGCATTAACTTGTAAATTCCCACAAATTCTATTTATCATTTTTGTTATCACAATCCCTCACAAAAAATATTAAATATATTTTAAAGCTGTGTAATTAAATCTTCACTACGTTATTATGAAATATATATAGTGTAACTAATGTTTATATTCATGTATATCTTTCAAATCTATACTACTCAATACCTGCTATTAGGAATAATGAGTAAATTTTAAAATATACTGTATACATGTAGAATACTAAGTGATGGTATGATACTGTATATATTTGGATAATGCTTTAAACATTTGAAGTTCCACTCAACTGAAATTTACTCATTTACAAGAAATACTGCAGAAATGTTTAATATATATTTATGCTGAATACTTGATATTTATGTGTAATACATATTTATTTGACATGTCATCAAATTTTTTAAGATACTGGTTTAAAAGGAATAATATATGTATATTAGTCACACTTGCCCAGTAATAGTTTACCTAAAGTATAAGCAGCAATAAGTTTTTGGTGCACACTAAGATGAACATAAGGAGGTAGGCTTCCAACTGATTCTCCTTTGGTTGGTAACATCAAAGCTATTATACACACAATGGCAGCTAAAATCACAATTACACTCAATCCTGAGTTACTTCTTCCTGTTAAACCGAAAAAAAAAATTAATCTATTTATGTAATTATAGCTATTAAAATAAACTGAAAATTACCAAACTTTTCACTAAATTTATTTCTATAGTTGAATTATGTACAAAGGATTTCAATCTTCAATAAATGACATCATATTGAAGGGCCAGTATAAAAAGAGTTACTTCATATTAAACTTACTTTGTCAGTGTTAACGCCACATTGTTGTTCTTCATATCAAAATTGAAGAAAATCTTAGAGTAAGATCTAGCTAAAATATTACAGTCTCAAACAATTTCCCACCATTAAAAAAACAGAACAGTTTATGTGTAAATGAGATCTATATCAAACTGCCTCTCACGCCTAGATATGTACAACATTACTGAATATACAGTGTAATTCAGTATCTTTGACTTAACTGGGGTGATAAATCTAACATAGCTTGAAACTACAACTCTCAAATGTTCATGTAATGAGTTATTATCCAATATGAGCAAATATTTCACAATACAGTTACTAATGGTGTTGTGATGTTGAACTGCTACAAAACCTGAATACATACTCTATTTTGTATCGTTACAATTAAGTGTTGAGAAATGTGAATGGTAGAGAAATGATTGCTACTTGTTTTATATTCATATAAATAATGGTATTGGATATTATTGGTTCAGAAGAAAAAAACTTTACCTTGTACTCCATTGATAGAATACTGTCTAGCTTGCACCATTGGCATCGACTGTTTTGATAGCTGCTCAAATTGTTCCGACTCAGCACTAGAAGATATATTAGTGTCAGGTTTGGATGGATACAGAGTGGCTGAAATATCTTTTTTTCCCAGAAATTGATGCTGTCCATGTTCTTGCACCTGAATTCGAAACTTGTCAGTGACTCCATAGTTGTTCTGTGTGATGTCATTGTGACGAACTATACTATTTAATGAAAAAAGTCTATGTGACTTTACAACACAAAAACTTACTTAAATAAGCCAAAATTTTATATAATGTGTGAATAGTTAAAACCTCAAGTTATATTTGAAAGTTCTACTTATTTTCTTTTTTTATGAGATAAATATTTACACCAGAGAAAAGAAACCAAAAATATAAAAATTTATACAAGAAAATTTCTAATTTCAAAACCAAATAATTGCTACAGGGGTATCTAGACCATGAATTTTACATTTTTTAAACAATATAACTTCCATTAAAGTATATTCAGTAGTTTATTTTTGTTTTGTTTTTACACAATTTATTGTTAATTATACATATCTTTGCTCAAAAACATTAACAATTAAATTCCAACGAATTCTATTTAACATTTTTGTTATCACAATTCCTCACAAAAAATATTAAATATATTTTAAAGCTGTGTAATTAAATCTTCACTACGTTATTATGAAATATATATATATATATAGTGTAACTAATGTTTATATTCATGTATATCTTTCAAATCTATGCTACTCAATACCTGCTATTAGGTATAATGAGTAAATTTTAAAATATACTGTATCTCAGTCAGAAACATCAACTTCAGTCATAGTGTAATACCAAAATAATATGTTAAAGGTATTATGAATGCTCTAAGTTTTAGTTTGAAAACATTTACATGTCCTAACAAGAAGGATATTTTTCATCCACCTATTTTTTTTGGGGGGGGGGACAGTAACTGAAAATCATCCTTTTCTTAACTTGATATTTAATACAAAAACACAAAAATTTATGATTTTTTTATCTATTAAGATTACACACTGCAACTTCTCACAGCATCAGTTTTAAGTTGTAATATCAAACTTACTAATCTGGTTTAGGTTTCTAATTTTCTTAGTCTTGAGCAAACTTATCAAAAACACTAAATGTATTAGGAAAACGAATTAAACAATTAATATAATTGATACTTGAAACCATCGATACTTAGCAAAACTCCATAATTACAAAATTGAGGAAACCCTGTTACAAAACATTTCAGTCTGTACCTGATGATGCCTTTACTGGCTGTGGTCATGAATAAATGATATATTCGTGAAACATACAAATGTCTTGTTATTACTCAATTTTGTAAACAATTAACATTACCAAGTTCAACACATATTTCTACTTCAAAAAAATAAGAAACTGAGCTGACCATTTATGGAGTGACTGTTATAAGGAAGTCAAGAGCTTTACTCTTGTCAGTGATAATGAGAAGTCCATTCACTTATAACACAAGCAGGTACAGAGTCCAGTGCATATGTAGCAACATAAAATAAGTATACAGCTCTAGCTTCACAACTCATTTGTGAAATATTGTATGCAATGATCTTTTTATTACTTATTGTTGTTAAGCCAGAAATGATAGAATTTATAGGTCAAGTCCCTTAGTCAAGTAATTATCTGTAACTTCTTTTCTCAGTTCATAGCTATTTCTGTATATATTGAGTAACAAAGACATGGTGTAATTAAATCCTTACAATGTTAAAGGACTTAGATTATTTCCATTATCAAATTGTATTTATTATTAAGAATAACAATATTATAGAACAAGTCTCCAGTTTGACACTGATACTCATGTGCTTCCAAGTATGCTCTCCCCCAGTTTTTGAATCTCATTATATGACACTTCAAACATTTATTTTTTTGTCTAACACAAGTTTCTGCTTGGGTTTTCAAAGATACCTTTTAATAAGACTTGAGCATAAGAATTTAACCTAGAAGCCTACAGCAAAATACAAATATATACATCTACAAACAAAGCATATCACGGGGAAAAAGAAAATAACTGGCGAGAGAGTCTTTAACAAACTCTTGGTAATTCAGTGAAATTTAGTATTCAACATGTTTAGAAGTTGAGTGTCATGGAAATAAAATTTCATTTATAGCACAGATGACAAACTTAGTTTTTAGTTTTAAAAAGAAGAATGTCAGAGCCAACCTTAGCAAGTAGGTAGAGTAGACATTCTTTACAGCAGCATGTAAGAGTGGCAAGAAAGTAATAGTACTGACAAGTGTGAACAGCAAATAATTAGTTTGAAGTACATGAAAAAAAATGAAAGAAGAGGAAGAAGAAATATACGAAAAAATAAGAGAAATAAAGAAAACACTGATTAAAATTGAAATCAGTCAACTTTCCAGTGTCAGTGATGACAAAGCAGTAGAGAAGTACTGTACTGCATTTCAATATGTCAATGTTATTGCTTCCTAAGCCATGGCAAGCATTTTATTATACTTGTAGCAAGTTCTAGAATAGACATATGTCAGAGGAACAGCACAGAAACAAAGTAAATTTTAAAGAAATGATTTATTTCACTTACTAAGAGGTTCTGAATCTGCATGGTTCCATAAATTCATATTCTCTGCTATATAAGTAGATGTAACTGATGTACATGACATTTTGTTTCCTGTTTGATTATAGTTGAGATTAACATTGAAAGTAGTGTTTTCATTATTTTTTCAGTGGTTCTAATTAGTACATTTATTACTGTTTAATCACAAGCTGTCAGTAATAGACATCATTTGTCTGGCATCAAGTACAGGAAACAGAAAGCAGCAGACAAAGATTCAGAAGCATAAAGACTCAACTGAAAAAATTGATGAATAAAGATTTTCAGACAATGAAAGAATGTAAGCATATGAAAAATGACAGTGAGAAATCAGGAACTGCTAGTAGATTGTTCAGCAGATTTGAAATTATTTAAATTTGAAACTGTAAAAAAAAACTGATAGTGAAAAACATATTGGCAAAGTCACAATATTGAAGTAACAAGAGAGCTCTACAATGGTCAAAAGATATTGGAGAGGAAGTGGAGCAATTACTTGTATCAAAAGGCCCACTACAAGTAGAGGATTTAAAATATATTATTGTTTTTGCTGCAAGCTCTTTGTTTCAACATGATTTGCCTTCACAAATAATGGTACAACTTATTAGAAGAATTAAGCAAACACAAAATACCACACAATCATCAATAAACTTTCCAACAAAACTAAATATAGACAAGATGTTTTAGAGAGACTTTCAGGAGCTTCAGACTGTATAGACAAATATGACAATGGTAATTTTCTAAATTTAAAGTTTTAGGCATGGTTGATGTTGTCATGAAAGAATATTTAGAAGGGTGAGAATGCAGAAAGCTAAGAACCATTATCTTTGGAAAAGGACTCAAAATGAGCTCTTTCAACAACTAACTTATTAAATCATTCACAGCATTGTGAGCTTGACAAAAAGTGCAAACTACTATGCAATTGGATTAGATTGTACTCTAGAGATCAGTCAAAATGAACAGGTGACAGTGTTTATTGGTTCATTAAAGTATGTTCTGGTACAATCAAAATTACAGGACACTATATGAATTCAATGAAACAAAAGACTCAACAGATCCTGGTATGACAGAGCTACTACTGCAAAAACTTCAATAATTAGGGCTCAATCTTGAAGCGATAAAACAATGGAGCAAATATAAAAAGTATCCAAGAAGGAGTTCAATCCAGAATTCTGGTACTTAACACACACAAAAAAAACCTTTGTGCCATGTTATGTTCATTTGTTAAACTCATCTAAAAGACACTGCAATATCTTGTTGTTGTTTTCTGTATTTTTTATAATGATACAAAGTGGGTTTTATTGTTCTTGGACTACACATAGATTGAATATTCTCAATATGTTTACAAGTACAACAACTATCAAGCCATTCTCAAATACTACAAAAGAGTAAACTAGAAATTTTTCATGCCATTTGTTAAGTTACAGAGACAACGTTGCTTTAGTAGTCCTAGCAGAAGATGCGACACTTATCTCAACTCGTGGAACAATATTAAGATGTGAAGCTAAGCTCTGAAGCTTAAAATTCCTGCATTATCTCATGTTTTAGCAGGATGTATTTTCTCAAGTGAAAGTAAGGAGTAAAAACTATACAGCCCTCACTCACTTATCATCTGCAATTCTTGTCATAGAAAAAATCAAATCCCAAAAATGTTCAGTCTAATGAGGGATTTGCAAAAGCCCTGACAGATTCAAGAGCACTTGCCAAAGAGATGGAGATTGATGCAAATTCACATCTAGATACTGAAATTTGCCGAAAACAAATATGTTTGAATATGCAAAAATTGATGAACCCATTCAAAATTCAGTTCTACACTTCAAAATAATATTTCTTATTATTCTTTATACCACCATTCAGTCTCTTTAAATTTATTCAATTAAACAGTTCAATAATATTTCTCTTCCTTCAAAATTTAAAAAATGTGTGTATAGATAATATCATAACAGTACTTATGAATCTTAACATTGCTATTACAGATCAACAATCTCAATAGAGTGGCATTAATGAACTGGAGTTCTGTAATCATTAATCATCCCAACAGGGGCATGCAAAGGAATATCTTGTAAAGAAAAAAAAGGGTACCTCTCTCTCTCTGTTCCCAAGAATATACATTGTAAAATAATTATTCTGACACTGCCAATCATGAAAGCTTCTCCTAATAAAAACTAATGAAAACTTACTTGAGATCCACATTGACACATAATCATTTAGTTGGTTTTCCATCATATTTACTGCTGAGTCAATGGACATGAATGAGCTTTTAAGATATTACTTCATTAAATACCCAAAAAGTGAGTTTTAAATGAAAATTATTTTTTGTTTTAATTTTCGTTTTTGTGTGTGTGTGCATGCAAGTATTACACTTGATTATCATTTTAAATGTATGCTCTGTAATGGAAATTTCAAACTTAGAAATTAAACTTGGTTGTTTTAAACATAATTATCTACACATAATGCAACATGTAAAACAGTAGTTTTAGTAGTAAAACATAGTTAGCATTAACCGATACAAACCCACTAACACATTCATATCTTGTCTTGAGAGCAAAAAAAAGTCTGTGTTTTGATCACTGACCTATGGCTTCTAAAAAATGAGATACAGCCAATTACGTCACACCATGACAACACAGGTTAAGA